ATAAATTATTACAATTAATGAAAAATCTCTCTAAGTTACAAATCTAAGCCTAAGCTTCCATTGCTCCCACGCTCGCCACAAAGTCTCCCTCTTTGTCTGCTTTGTCATCACCCAATTTGTGCTCACATGAAAGAAAGACAAAGAAAAAAGGATTAGTACAGTTAGTTAAATATGAATAGAATTTTCAAAACAAAAGGAAAGAAAAAATTTTCATCATTAAAGTTTTCCGTTTGGAATCAGAGGACTATTTTTCATCACGTTTTTATTTTTCTCTTTGCAAATCACAAGAAAATTCCTCTTCTTGGTTCACAAAGAGAAAAATAAAAATGCAAGCTAGCAAAATTATTCAAATTCAAAGCACAAGACGCCAAACTGAAAACATAGGCCAAGCAAGCAAATTACAAGCAGGCACGCAAATGTAACAAGCCAAAGTGAAAACATAACAGCCAAACTGCAGCATGCTGCCCAAATCAGCACAAGCAAACCAAACTGGATGCAAGTATTGCAAAGCAAACCAAACTGAATGCAAACTAAACAATGCAGTAGGACAAGTATGATGCAGCAGGGCAAGTACAAGTGCAGACAACAGCAGGAAAAAAGTGCAGTATGGTAAACCAAATCACAAGCAAAGCTTGTTGAAACAGTTGTTTCATCATTTTCCAGAAAATTGGGGCAAACTTTTCAGAAAAAGTGCAGAACAAAACTGCTTTATCATTGAGAGAGGAAAGAGAGAAGATATATCACCTTTTTGTTGAGATTGTACAGTTTGGCTAAAAATCTGTCACAAGTGACAAAACAAAAGCTAAAAGCATATAATACCATCAAACAACAAGAAGAAAAAGGGAGAATATTTTGTCAAAAACTGCAACAAATCACAAAACCTGTTAGCAGTTCAAAACACACAGCCCAACTTGCAAAAGCCTTAAAACTGCAACAACTACCAAAATTGTATAACAGTTTCAAATAGCACAACCTGCATAAAACTCAAAACCTGCAGTTCCCAAACAAAACAAGTTTGCCAAACTGTAAACCAGATAACATAAACATTCACAAAAACCACAAAACCATATAGTAGTTCAAACAGCCACAACTGTAACCATGTGAACCAACTCACAAAACAAACAGTCAAAACCTGCATAGCAAGAACAACTCTTGCTAAACCAGCATAAACAATTCCCAGACACCAAAACACTGCCTAACAATCAAAACAGTCAAAGCCTGCATATTCAAACTGCAACAAATATACAATCTCCCAACTCAGTCTAAACAACAAAAGCCAACAAGCCTGCCAACTCAGAACATTCAACAAGACAAAGTTTCAGAAACAGCAAACCAACAAATCAAAGTTTCAGAAGCAATAATCAAAAATCAGTTCAACAATAATCACCATCAAGGTTTCAGCATCATCATCAATTAATAACCTTCAGCAAACACCAACACTAAAACAAAGTCTCAGGATAATCATCATCATTATCCATCATTAACTAACAAGTCAGAAGGAAAACATCACCATCATCATTCAAGTTCAAGAGAGAGGAAAGAAATAACGAAGTCAGCATCACTATCATCATTCAAGTTCAAAGAGAGAGGAAAGAAATAACAAAGTTTCAGAACAAACTATCATCATCAACAAAAACTACCAACAAAACAAAGTTTCAGAAATCATCACCATTAACCAACAAAGTTTCAGAAACAATCAGCATCATCATCAATCATTATACAATCAAAAGTTTCAAAAGCATTTAGCATCATCATCATTCAAGTTCAAGGGACAAATAAAAGTACCAAAAGTGCGCATCCTTCGTCATCATCTCTTCCTCCTTTCCTAGCCCGTCGTCGGGGAGCCTCTCATCTCAAAATATCACTTCTCACAGAAAAGCTCCAAAAGGTATACTTCTTTGACAAACCATTTACTGCATCTCAAACATACGCCACAATAGGATTAATAGAGATAACGTGAATAAAGGCGAGACAAACAAAAAAAGCTCGTTCAACCATCAAAATCGTAACAAAAAATTAGAATCTTACCCCTTCAAAAAAACAGAACCATTAGCGTAGGAAGTGAGAAGTGCGAGATGCTCCGGTGACAGACGGCGAGAGGAAGATCAGAGAGGAGCGATTGAGTGAGGAAGATCAGAGAGGAGCGATTGAGTGAGGAAGATGAGTGAGTGAGAAAGAGATGTGAGAGGAACGAGAGAGACAAACGGCGCCGTTGTGAGGAGCGCGCAACAAACCCTAATCAAAAAACCCTAAAACTGAGTTATGGCATTGGGCCCTATCCTCCCCAAGCCACAAAGCCCATACACATAAACGCTAGCGCACCCTCCCCCTCAGTTCTGACCTCACTTTTTTTATTATTTCATTTGGGCCCAACATCAATATCCTAAGCCCATTTTCAATTTGTTTTAATTTACTTCTTTTTTTTAATAAATCCATAAAACTCAATACCTTTTTTATATCAAATTAAATTAATATTGAAGTTAATTTTCTTTTTTCTTCTTTTAATTTATCTTTTTATTTCTTTTAAAAATATACTAGTAAGATATTAAAATTTCATTTTTTTTGTAAAATAGATTTGATTTTCTTAATTAGTTTTAATCATTTTATTATTTTTCTTACATTTAATAAAAAAAACACCAAAAGAATAAAGATTTTGTTTAATTAAGTTTTTCTTTCTTTTAACTTTTCCTTTCAAAATTAATAAAATACAAGAAAGAATAATAATAATTTTTAATCTTTTAGAATAGAGTTTATTTATCTCTTTTTAATAAATACATGCATTCCATGATTGATTGATTTTCTTTATTTCATAATTTGTTATAGCTTTGTATTGAATCGCGACAATTCGATTTGGTTGTAATATTTGGACTTTGCTATTCTTATGAGATTCATCCCCATTTGTAATGATTGTACTCCCATTCCCGGAAACTTTTGTAATAGCTTAGACTTTTAATTTCCTCAATTTATTGCTTTCTATATACTGTATAGTAATTAGGCGTGTATGGAAAGATTCAAAAATCAATCGATAGATGACCTAATCCAAGAATAAATAACTTGAAATCAATACACTTCTCATACGTGCACCTCAAGGGTAACCTCGCTTGTTGCCTCGGAAACACAATCATGTCCCTCGAATATGAGACACTCTAGAAAATGACCCTTCGATAAACAAAAATCGTAATCCCTCGATGAAACTCGATGTTGCCTTCGATAAAACGATCTCATCCCTTACAAAATTGCTAGAGCGTCTCACAAGTTGCTTTCAATGATTGTATGCGGTGACCCACGCCTGTCCCGTTTAACATCCAAATACAAAGTTGTTTACCAAATGCAATGGTAAAACAACACTGTCAAAAGGGTTAAAAATGTTTAGGAAAGACTCTTGAGTAGATAGGGTAGACAACTCTTAGTTACTTGATCAAAACTTGCAAAAACATCCTTGCTATTTTCAAACACACCTCACAGCACAATTTCAAAACATTTCCCAAAACAAACTTTCAAATATTGAAATATCTTTTCAAAAGACAAACACCTTTCTATATATTCAAACAAGAATCATTACAAAGGTTTCCACAACGATGGCCTCTTTTCAAAACATTTTCAAAACCATACACAAAGCACCATTTCAAACAATTGAAAAGCAAAAGCAAGTGATCTAAACAAGTAACTAAGAGCCCATGGATAACCATGGATGAAAAGGGTGCTTGCACCTTCCCTTTTCATAATCTACCCCCCGAACCCAAGAAAACATATCAAAGGTCTTTCCTGTGCTTTTTGACCTTTCCTTTGGATAAAATAAAAAGTCGCTGGCGACTCTTGCTAAACCGAAACATTTGCAAACACAAAGGCAAAACCTCAAGTCAGTTCTCCCACCATATCACATAGTGGCTCAAGCTTGTTTTCCCAAGGCTCCAAGGCGGGTTCCGTTGTTCATGTCAAAAAGTACAAGAACGTGTGGTATCCCTACACAGGTAAAAGATACTCAAATGCCTTTGGAGTTGGGGGTGCTTAGGGCTTGCTCACGTGTATGAGAGATCATGTTTAGTGATGTTTACAGTGTTAAGTGAGGGCCAATTCACGTGAGGTGAGACGCTATATGGATAAGCATTATGCTCAGGGTATAATGATTTGTCTCCTCTTCCATTAAGAAAGAGGTATATATATGCTACTTGGGTCCATTGAGTCTAGGGTTCAGGAAACTTTAAGAGATGGTAATTCCTCCCAAAAAAATTGGAGGAGACTGTTGAGCGCCAACTTTCTAGAGAATAATGGTATGACTTCGTCTATGCGATTAATTCCTCAGTAACAACATGACACACGTCTTTTCTAAGAGCGTATCCCCCGTACTATCTATAATATCGGAAGAAAAAAAATTTAAGCTTGAATATTTTTTTATATTACAAAGCTTTTAAAGATGATATAATTTTATCACAAAATTTGTCATTGATGACATTGTGGATATTATATATATTAAGTGGGAGTAATGATTTCCATATTTGATGGAAAAGAGGATGTTGAATACTTTATAAGTAAGATGAGACATACACCCAATACCTTAATGTTTTGGATTAATACGTGATTTTAAAATTTTATTTTATGTGATAAAATTTCATTGATATATGTCATTTTGAGTAAATTATCTCCAATTTTATCTCGAGTATCCTAAGCCTCACCTTTTTTTTTAAAAGTGTCCTTAATATCCATATATTGACTATTTCGTGCATATAGTGATAACACTAATACCATGTATTTAACAATAGAAATACATAAGTTACATAGTCAAACTCATACACATGCAACATTATTTAATTGAAATTAAGATGGAGAAGTAACAACATAAGTTACATAGCCAAACTCATACACATGCAACATTATTTAATTGAAATTAAGATGGACATCTAAGAAATCCAACAGTCAAGTTGGAAACGAAGAATGATTATTTAAAAAGTAGACGATTCGTGTATTGCATGATTAATTATTTTATGTTGAACATGTCAATATTAAAGAGTGGCAGACATCTTCAATTCGTTCGCGAATGTAGAGTTGGAGTAAATTTTGAAGAACGTGTCTTTTGCTTCAGAGCTTGAGGCAAAACACCAACCATATTCGATATAGGAATTAAGATAACGAGCACAAAAGCTCCCACTTTCCTTCTTAATGCAATCATCATGAGACTGGCATAAATTAGGATTTTTTTCAGCAATATTCTTAACATCTAGAGATGATGGATATGTGCAATAACCAAAAAAATATTAAAATGGGGATACAACGACAGCTAGAAGAGCCACATGGTGGCATCTCAAAGGGGGAACATGCACCCGAACAATCTACAGCTCCTACCTCCTTCATTGAAAAGGCACCTGTAAATGTAAAAGCCAATTAAAGAGTAAATACTCATTGTAGGTACTTATATACATATACATAATATGGGTGAAAAATGCTTACAGAATATAGCAAGCCCGAAGATAGCCAAAGTAGCAACCTTAACATAAGCCATTCTTTGATATGTTTGTTATGAGCTTATTTAGGTTTGTGGTTGCGTTACTTCATTCTTCCAAGCAGCAATTTATAGAGACATCACTTCATACTAACATCAATTCATGATACTTACTCTTACTTAGTTATATTTCTTATTTTGGTAATATTCACCAATAAACTGCAATAGTTATATTTCTTATTTTGGTAATATTCACCAATAAACTACAAAGTTGCTTGGTTGATCCTTGATTTTATAAAATATTTTTCTGTCTCACATGGGAAGGCTGACTCATTTTGATGCTTAGTTTTACATATATTTCTTTACTATTTTGGATTCATCTTAATACTAGTTTATATAACGTTTTCTTTTAATCTATTGAAGCTTATTTTTTAATTTCTTATCTTGCTAAAGTTTGGCTAAAATAGAAAAGGTTAGTAATTTTACCGGTTGAACAGAGCCTGCAAGGTGGTCGAGTAATGATCTGCAATCGGACTGTGATGTCGAGGAAGAGAAATGGGGGTTGTACCTGTAAGACACTTCAACGATCAAGTAAGAGTGAGAACAATGAGATACAAGCAAAGTGTTAAGATATTGGTGGGGAATAGTGAATATTCGTTACCTGACCCTTACACTTGTGAGGGTTTATATAATGTCCATGGCGCATGACTATTGATTCCTGTTTTTAGGCCTGGATATGCGGGTCCGTAAAAATAGGTAACTGTCAGGACTTGGTCAAATCGGGCAGATGTGCCCGTAACTAGCTGTTGGTTCCAAGTTGTCTGCACGACGGGCAGCAGACTGGTCGATTCCTGGTTGTCTGCACGACTTGAGGTCAGGCAGACTGAGAGGTGCTCGTCGATCACCTTAGGTCAGTGTCGGCTTGGGAGGGCAAAGGATCGATATTTCCTGACAGAGAGCAGGGGAGGTTCGAGCCATGGACGTATGGACTGTACGGAAAGAAAGCGTTAGACTTGGCCCATTCTAGCTGTTGGGCCAGTCCAGAACAGTAGCCCCTCAAGTCGTTGCTTCTGAGAACATGAGTGATGAATTTAACACTTGCTCATGGAATGGGGCACATATTACAAGGAGAATAAGTGTCGCCTGTTGCGCCTTTCTCGCGGGGAGATGAGAAGTTGGTCGTTAGGAGCCTTAAACTTAAAGAGGTAGCGCGTTTCGGATAGCGTGCTGGCGTAGCGACGCAATGATGGCCTAGGGACTAGGGTGTAATAATGACGACCCTAGAGTTTCCTAGGCGTGTGTCTCACCATGCAGATGGTCCCAACTATAAATATTATAGGAGTAGAGAGTTTAGTTTTTTCGTTCTTTCTCCCAACTGCTCGTAATCGCTCGCTTGTCGACCACCGTCGTTTCTTGAGATTCGTTGCTCGCTGCTGCTACTTCCACTCTTCCTTCTTCTTTAACTGGTAAGATTTCAGGTTTTTGTTGTCGTTTGCTTTCAGTAGTTCTGATTTTCGTGATTTTCTTCCTAGAAATGCATGTGACTAGGGTTTAGCATTCTGACTGTTAAGACGTCATTGGGGAGTGTTGGTGGCAGGCGGTGGTTCTATAGTTTAGAATCGTCGGAGCCGCCGTACATCCTCCCGGGAATTTCATGATGCATCGAAGACAATCCTTTTGGGATATAGGTCGCTTTGTCGGACTTTTCTCGCTGTCCCGTAGGTGGTCCGTTAGGGCCTAGGGTTCTTCCTTGGACTTCTGTCTATTTACACGCCTTAGTGAGGGTTTCTGGTCAAGGATACGATCCTCGTTTATCAGCGCCCTTTCACTTGATTTAGCGGTGGAAGGGTGGTTCTGGAATTGATGTCAAACTCACTTTCATCCTCTGCTTTTCAGGTACTATGGATGACAACGCCCTGATTGACTTTTCGAGCGAGTCTTCTGGATCTTCAGGAAGTTCTTCGGATAAGGAGAGTAGCTCGTCGAGCATACTAAATATTTTCAGGGACGAGCTGAATCAGCTGGAACAACAAGTGGGGAGAGGCGGTGTGGATATGGCCTCCGCTGATCAAGGTTGCTTGTTTCCCCCCCCCCTCCCCCTCGGGGACGAAGAGGATCTGCGGGCTTGGGTCGCGAACAATTCTTAGGACTGACCTCTTATTTCTTCGAGCATCGAGATGATGTTTTTACTAAGGTGTATACTCACGAGGAAGGTGACCGGGGAGAGTGGTCGTTGTATATTCCCGGGAAAGGGAGCAGGCTCTGCTCGAAATATGATAGAAGGCAGATTCCCGTGTACGACATCGTGTTTCGGGAAATGGGTCTTCGGCTCCCTTTCTCGGATTTTGAGGTGGCCGTATTCAGGCATTTGTAGTTTGCTCCTTCCCAATTGCACCCGAACGACATCATGTTCATGCGAGCGTTCAATATTGTTTGTGATTACTTGAACATATGGGATACCATTCCCTTGTTCTACTATTTCTTTCACCACCAGAGGAGCAAGATCAACGGTAAATGGGGATGGGTTTCCTTGAAGCAAGGCAACAGGAAGCTGTTTAAAGCCTATCTGGAGTTTGTTCGTCACTTCAAGGACAAATATATATTGGTGTAGCCTTCTTCGAGCAAGGTGATGCTTAATGTTTTTAGGACCGTACTGACGCATAACGAGGATGGTACTCCCCCGTTTGAACGAGCTAGGAGACCCTATGGTAAAACTGGTTTACAAGTTCTCGTTCCAGTGGACAAGGAAGCACTTCGATAAGGAATTGGGTTCCTACATCTAGAGAGGGGGGGAGCTTGGAGTCGAGGACCAAGAGAGCTTCTTCGTCTTGACTGCTTTCGTGGCCCAGATCCCTCGTGTCCAGCGAGTGGACCGAGGAGGTAGGCCGATGATTGAAAAGAACAGGGAGGTTGTATACGAGTCAGGTCTTATAATCGTCAAAGAGCTCCTCGGGAGCGAGGACCCCGTCAAGTATTTGAGTATTTATGTTTTAAATAGTTGTATGTGGCCGTCACTTATTTTTCGAATCTTCATTCGCTAACTATGATTCTTTTAGTTTGTTTTGTAGATAGCATGAATCTATCCCAAGAGAGCATAGCCAAGACTCTTGCTTCTAGAGAGAGGAAGGCTTAGAAGGATACTCAGACTAGCTCGGGGGTCACTCCTACTTCGAGGTTGGGTGACTCGTCTTCGGCCTAAGCTATGGTCGCTCTCTCTCCTGTCGCTGTATCCTCAAAAGCGAAGAGGTCGCGTGTCGAGGGAAGCGAAGACCTGTCCGGGGAGAAGTGGAAAGGGACGATCAACCTACCGCCTTGCTGGATGGAGAAGGATTTATTCGAGGGTGTAACTCTTCGCCTTCCTCGGGCCGAATCCCTTCATCTCGAGGGTTTGGGCCGCCTGAAGAAGAGGGTGATGCTGGCCAGGATGCTGGTGGTATAATGCGGATTCTGGAGATGGTCGTCGCCTATACCGAGGGGAGTTTGTCCCGGGAGGGCGAGTTGAAGAACCTTCGGGCCAAGCTGGTCGTGAGCAAGAAGGCCCGAATCGAGGAGGAAATGTCCCAAAAGATATCAAAGGAAGAATCAGGGAGACTCTACGAGGACTGAGCCTTAAGGGATTTCCGGCTCTCGTATTAGATATTAAATTCAGAGAGTTGTAAGGACCATTTCAACATTCTGCTGGACATGTATGGTCTTCCAAGCAGCTAGCTGCTTTATTGGATGATCCATTCAGACGACTATGGTGTGGGACAAGAAGTAGTGTTTGAGCCTCCTCGCCGCGTTAATGAGGGCTGGAGATAATTTTTCAATTTTTTGATATCTCTCCTTCGGGCCTTGCAGGGCCTTGCTCGTGAAATAAATTGGTCTTTGTCCCTCTGGAGTTTCTCTAATCAGTGATGCGCTTCATACGCTACGGTAACCAAGAACGTCGTGGCACGATTCATTCGGCATAACCTGATCTGTCGATACGGCGTCCCGGAAAGGATCATTACGGACAATGGTACCAATCTTAACAACAAGATGATCACTGAGCTCTGCGAGCAATTCAAGATACAGCACCACAACTTTTCTCCCTACCGGCCGAAGATGAATGGGGTTGTAGAAGCGGCTAATAAGAATATCAAGAAGATTTTGCAGAAGATGACAGTGACCTACAAAGATTGGCACGAGATGTTACCGTTTTCTCTTCATGGGTACCGTACCTCAGCAAGGACGTCAACAGGGGCAACACCCTTTTCCTTGGTCTATGGCATAGAGGCATTCTTGCCTATTGAAGTCCAGATACCCTCTCTCCGGATAATGAAGGATGCAGGTTTGAGCGAAGATGACTGGATCCAGACTCGGCTTGATCAATTAAACCTAATCGACGAAAAGAGACTCACTGCTATGTGTCATGGTCAGACGTACCAAAAACGGATGATCAAGGCATTTAACAAGAAAGTCAGACGATAAGAGTATCAAGTCGGAGACCTGGTAATCAAGCGCATCATTCTTCCTCAAAGTGATCCCAGGGGAAAATGGACCCCTACGTACGAAGGGCCATTTGTGGTTAAGAATATCTTCTCAGGAGGAGCTATGATTCTAACCACCATGGATGGTGACGACCTTCCTCACCCCGCCAATGCAGACATAGTAAAAAGATACTACGCATGATTAAAGACCCGCTAGGTTGACACACCTAGGCAAAAATAAGGGCTTCCCGGCGAACCAAAAGGGTTCGGGAAAAAGTAAGGGATGAAATGAAAAAAATCTGTACACCCGACAAGTCGAAAACCTGAAAAGGTGGCTTGGGCAAAAATGGGTATCCCGGTGGGCTGAAAACCCGAAAGGGCGGTCCAGGAAAATGTTAGGGATAAGCGTAATACTATGTCTCATTGGATCACCCTGCATCCAGAATTCGGTATCAACTATCAGGTTCAGACGACATCAATCAGTCAGCTTCATCTTTAACTGAGCAGCAAAGCGATGAGACGCTTGAAGACATAAAGGCGATAGCAGAGTTGGAACCCAGTGGGATTATTTTTCACATAGCTGTTTTGTTTTCCTTTTCACAAAATTGT